GTTTGGTTTGTTTTTTCGTGGAAATGGCAAAGGGACTTCACCAAAATTCCAGCTTCCAACTTGTGAGTGAGGTTGCGTCTGTTCAAGGCTTCAAGCCATTGTATCTTGTAGAGAGGTTTAATTGGTATCATGTATAGCTAAACTGATTGGCTCCCAATCGTATAATTAAATTTGCATTCATATATAGGTAACCCAAAAGGTAAAACTGATTGGCTCCCAATCAGTATAAATAATGACCAAACCCAGTACAAGGCAGATAGAAAATTCTTATGTAATTAATTTAATGTTCCTAGGATATGGAAAGGCTTCCATGTAAAGGATTGAAAGTAGTGATTTACATTGATGAGGAGAGTGGCTTAAGTACCAACTCTTGAACAGATTGAAGCTACAAAGTAGGAGCCACTAACCCACTAACTAAAACTAATGACGTTACTAACTAATAATAATAAAATTAATTATTTACAGAAATTGAATTTATGCACAGCCCTTATCATTCCATTCCTTGAATTTCCACCAACGATGTTTTCACTCCCCTTTTAGTCAGAGAATTCATTGTAGTAATAAATACAATAAAAAGGCATACATAATTAATGGATTCTTTATTGTGTATAATTAAAAGGATATTTTACTATAAACGAAGCATGATAGATCCACAGGGGGATAAAAGAAGCATGAGTCTTGATGAAAAAGGGGGAAAAAATCACCATAGATAAAAAATCATTATAATCAACCTAATTGGAACTGCTTAGAACAAAAGCGGATTAAAATCTCCCCCAATGAAATTCATTTGCAATTTCATAGGTAGTCCCTACTTCCACTTCTATAATTTTGAGAAAACATTGCAATTTCATCAATAGTCCCCACTCGTGGGCCAATTTCAATTGCAACCAAATTTGCACCCTTGCAATAGCTTCTCACATCATAGCAAGTGTAGGATGCAATTGCACCTCCTTGATTAGGGATGACCATTACTGCATCTCGTCACCTGTCTTAGGGAAATTAGCCATGGCAAATTCACAAAATACTGCATGCATAGAAAAATATTTGTCTGGATAATTAAAAAAATGGGAGACTTTCCTAGTCAGATGATGTACTGGCTCCCCTCAGTACCTGACAGTTTTGAGTGCTGGAGAAAAAGACTGGAAAAAAAAAACAACGAAGCCTTACAGTAAACTTCTTAACAAAACACATCCAATGCTGGCCCCTTCACTGCTCCATCCCGCCCTGCACTGCTCCACCCCGCCCTGCATCAATCGACTCTCATGTAAGCCGAGGACGTTTGCTTGAGGATGCCTCAAGGGTCTCTTCATGCTCCGTATGCCGAAGTTCATAAAAAGTATTGGTCACTTCGACGATACGGTAGACTGGCAAATAGGCGGAATGGTCCTCCCTAGCATAAACCCCCATATCCATCCCAACCCTTCCAAGAAAGGTGGTCAAGAAGGTGGCATATGGAAAGGCAGTGTACCAGTTTTCCCCTCTAGGAGCCGCCTCAACCATGTTCACGCACATGAGAGATGCGAGGTTAAGAGGAACACCTCTTTGAGCTTGCACAAGGATAAACAGGTCAAGTGTACGAATTATCGAATGACCTCTGTACCTTGGCATGAAGCAGTTGACGATCATCCAATGGAGGAATCGAAGAGGATCTGGGAGGTAAGAAGCCTGGATGCACCCATTCGTCAGTTTCCCCAGTTCAACTTCAAAATCAAAATCGTACAGCCGCCGAAGATCGCTTCTGCTATCAATGTGGTGTCCTGCGGCGGGGAGATCGAGGATCTCAGCAAACTGATGAGGCTGGAAGCAGACTCTATGACCCAGGAAGATCGACACGAGATGAGAATCGGAGGGACCAGACAGCTCTAAATTGTGGTAGAACTTCCTCACCACATGCGGGCAGTAACTGGTGCTTCCTCGACTCCGGAGATCGAAGAACTTTCCCAGCCAAGATTTTTAATTAACTTCTTAACTTCTTGAGGGAAAGGACTCAGGTTGATGAACTCGTACTCGGCCACAATAGATGTCTTGCTCGTGAATGAAAGATAGTCCGCGAGACTTGTGGTGGTTCGGCAGTCGTCGTTTGATAGAGTTAGAATGCCCATGTTTGCCATGGAGTCAGAGGAAGAAGGAATAAGGGAAGGTGAAGATGGAGGAAAGAGAGATTGTAGGGAAAGAGAGATTGTAGGTGTAAGAAAAAGTGGGGGTTGAGTGTGGAGACGTGTGATGGAGACGGTTGAGTCTGGAATGTCAAGAGTTAGAAGATTTGGGAAGATATGTAGTAATGATGATGTTAACTCGTGTAGGTTAAACTAGGGTAACTAAATCTAGTTAAACTAGAGTTGGCGCTGATACCGCAGGAGAAAACTAATGGGCTCGCACGTTCCAGGCCCACTTTTGAATATTTCATGGGTCATGTACAAGCCCACGTTTGAATGTTATTTAAAAGCCTGCAAAAATCAATGATCAGACCCAGTCCAACTAGAATTAGTCCTAAACGCACCGTTAATACATAAACACAAATTAAGGAGACCTCTCCATCTGATTCGAATCAAATTAGGTCTTCTTCATCTCCTTCCTCAATCCTCTGGGCGAGACGAACACTGCATATCAGGAAACCTTAATTTCACCGAGAGATATAATCACAATAACGCTAAGACAAGATGACAAAGCACTAGTGACATGAACCCTAGGGTTAGCAAACCTCTTTCAAGGGTTCTTTTCCAAATGAAAAGTTCGATGAACACAATAATAGACATGGTCGCCGTAATCGTGTTAGAAAGAGATAGGCGAGGGGAAATACAATGGCGAAGAAGAAACAAGACAAAATTATTTTGGCAAATTCAATCTACGTCGAATGTGGATGGGGAGCTTCTCTTGGAACTGTGAAGGGGCGTCCCTCCAAGACGAGAGAGGGATCGTGTAATTGGTTAGGGAGACTGGAAATTGGTTTGGGCGGCAGTGGGTCTACCCAATTGGGTTTGGGTCTTAATCCATTTAATTTAACCGGGGCAGTTAGTTGGACTAGGATGAAAACTAACTTAACGCGGAGGAGGCAATTTGTAATTTGTTTAGTTATTTAGTGGCGCAGCTAGGTTTAACAAACGTGAGCCGTGGAGATTGAAAACGAACGGTTAAGATCGGCCAAGGCACCCGTACCCGGGTTTTGCCCTGGGCACCGTAGAAGTCACTATATATATATATATATATATATATATATATATATATATATATGGTGGCTTCTATCGTACCTTGGGTAAAATCTAGAGTACGACATACCATGAGTAAAAAAATGCTATTTAGAACTCGAATTAACCGGATTTTTGGACATGATACTATACTCTAACCCTTGATGATTGAAACCTAGGTCTTAGATTTCTAAATCAAAGAGCCTAATCCCTAAGATTGTGCCTGTAATTTGTTGCATATATTTCGACAAATCATAGCCGTTGATTTTTGTTTCTAATTAAATTAATCTTAGTGTATGAGATTTATAAAACTAAGACCTAGATTTTAATCCTTAAGGGTTTGGGAATAATATCATACGCCAAACTATGCTCAATTCGAGGTCTAGATATCATTTTTTTACTCAAGGTATGTTGTACCCTTGATTTCACCCAAGGTACGATAGAATCACCCATATATATATATATATATATATATATATATATATATATATATATATATATATATATATATATAGGGATGGCAAAATATCCGTAACCGTGGATATCCACCCGAATCCGACCTAATCGGGTAGGGTAAAACCCAAACCCGAAGGAATTTTTGTGGGTACGGGTAAAATCCGAACCCGAATATTGCGGGTAATGGGTGGGCATGGATTTCTCACTATCCAATCCGAACCCGCCCGATTATACACATGCATATGTATTTTGTATATAAATAATCATTATTTTTCTCTAAAATATTTTATATTTAGCATATAAATATAATATTTTCATGAAATTGTGTCGTTTTGATTAATTTTCTTCATTCTAGTGAATTATGGTCATACTTTTCCTCTAATGTAATGTGAGAATACGTGTGAATGTTAACATATTGGTTGGAGTTATAAAGAGAAATTAGTACCCATGGATAACCGTGGATACCCGAAACCCGAACGAGTATGGGCATGATTTTGATTTTCTACCCATTTCTTATGTGGGTATGGGTATGGGTATGGGTAAAATCGGAACTACTTTTGGTAGGGTAACAGATACGCACTATCCGCGCCCAACCCGACCCATTGCCATCCCTATATATTTCTTTGTCTACAATAATCGAACTATGACTCAACATTCTATTCTTAAGTTTTTTTCTTCATTCTACCTTAATTTTGATTGCCGGGTACTAAGGAACATATTATTTCAGTATTTAGTTTCAATTTATAATTCACTTAAAAAAAGAGGTTCACTTTACAACAACAAATCAATAGTCCCGCTGCGAAGCGCGGGATTCCGTCCTAGTATTAATAAATAGAAAATGATCAACTAGATGCCACAACAAACAATACATATAAAATGACGGGATGTGTGGACTAATACAATCACCTAAATTTTACCAAAATTAAAAATCGAAAATGAAATGGAACTCGATAATAATCATCCTCTAAAATGAACAATTCATAACCCATGAATCAACTACTTATTGTCTTGCCAATTTGCCATCTCATCTTTCCATCATCATTCATCAAACGTCCTTTTCTTTTCCTCCCAATGAATCAATTATTTTGCTTTTTACCCCCTTATTTAAGAAAAAACAAACCCCCAATTAAAGCTTTCCCCAGTCCTCTAACCACCCACATTGTCTAAAACAAAACGAAAGACCAACCCTCCCCTCCCTTCCCCAAAGCTTTTCTCCTTCTCCTCCCTTTCGTCTCTCGTTGTACTCTTCCATTCCTATCTACCATTTACTGCTTATTTCTCGCTCTTCCTTCTCTATTTCTTTCGGTTCTTAATTTATTTGCATGCTTCAAAGAAGCACACAATAGACACACACTGCTCCCTCTCTCTCTCTCTCTCTCTCTCTCTTTCTGCGAGAGACACACACTACTCTCTGCAACTAACTTTGTCGCTTTAGCCCCCGGAAGAAAAAAAAAATTTCCTTCTAAGTATTTGCATGTCACGACTGCCCACCTCCAGCTCTTCCTCCTTCCTTCTTTCATTGACTCGACCTGGTGGTATCTCTTTCTCTCTTTCTCGTTAAACTGACCTTTCTCGGTAAGTTCCCTTTCCGCTTCTTCTCTTTTGTTCCCTTCTTATATTCCGCCTTCTGCTCTCTGTCTCGTGCTTTATCTTTGAAATGGGTATTGTGCTTGCCTATTTGTAATCATATTTGCTTGCTCCTTTTATCTGTTTTGATGGGGTGTGGAGGCAGTGAGTTGGGTTGTGCAAACTCGGCCGAGTTTTAACAAGTGTTTTCTCAATTGGGTTTGGGAGCCGTTCGTTGGGGGCGAATATGGGACCCATACGAGGGAACAGAAAGAGGAAAAGAGCCGATAAGAAGGCGGAGGAGAATGGTTATGGCTCAGCTGCTTCTGAGCGCTCTTTGGATTGGTGGGATGACTTCTCCAGAAGGCTTCATGGTTTGTTCTTCTATCTCTTCACCCTGCATCAGCCTCCAGAAAATAAAATTATATTGTTCCTGCTACGGTCTCTTTGTTTTTGTGGTACTAGCTTCTTGTTTGTGTGTTATGTGATTTTCTGTCGCCTGCTGGTATTGTGGTTCTTGATCGTTTTCTGCTGCTAATCCAGCCAGGGACTGTATAATGCATATTTTCAGAGTTTAAATCATTCTGTCCTGTAGCTTTGACATTTTCATTTGGGAGCTTGTGTAGGCTTTGGTGTCAAATGTAGGGTTTTTATATTTTGTACATCTCATCTATGGAACTGCAATTGGATTGTGATAATAGATTTGTCTGGCAGGTCATTGTACTGATCAGGGATGCTGTTTTCCCTTTGCTTACATTTTTATTCTGGGACTAATAGTGGATTAACCTGCTTTTTACTTGGCAGATTGCAAGTTGTAGTGTTTAATACAATGTAGGATCAGAACAGTCAGGACTGTAATTAGAATGGGGTGGGGAATGGAGGCATGTATTTGGCGAGAAATGGGCTGAAAGGATAACACAAGAATTCTGTACCAATATGCGTTGCCCCTGATCTTGATGAGAAAACTCGTCCTCGTTTTATTTGGAATGATTCTGGGTACTCTGGTGTGTTCAATATAATTTGGTTTTTGAATTTTGAAGTTCGTGTTCCTTGATGTGCTAAGGAACTCTTGGTTACTAGTACGTCAGAATCCTACATCTTTGTTGCATATGTCAGAACCTGATACTTGAAAATGCAGAATTCTGGCTGGCTTGTTTAGTATTTATCATCCTATTAACATCTTTAGCTTCTCAATTTACTTGTATTCTCCGCTGTAAGCTTTCAGAGTAGCTACATGGCTTGTAACTGTCTGATTTATACACCATTCAAATTACTCCAAACATACTTTTTTGGATCTCAGATTAAGACTTCATTCTTAAGATTTTTGCAGCCTGTTGAGGTAGTGTTATCTGAACTGAAAATTAGGTTGAACACTCCCAAGACATACACTTTTCTACATTGTTGTTTTAAGGTGCAAAGAGGGTCATGATATTGCAATTATAATAGTTTCTATAACTTCAATGTTAGTTGTTCACAGTGCTTAGTAGTTGATGTTTCTGTTAGATTCTCGCCTTGGTGTGACTGTGAAGGTTGAGCCTGCCGTTGTATTACCTTATGTTTGGGAACCATTTGCTGTTGCCATCTTGTGGCCATATAGAGTTAGTTCAAGGTGGCATCCGCAAGCTAAACTATGCCTACTGATGCTTTACCCACTAAATGTCCTTTCTGGATGTGCTTGTTTTCCATATGAAAGTATGTAAAAAAAATTCCAGTCAGTAAGAATATTCATGTCAATAGCTTTAAGCTCTGATGGAAGATGATCATGGGGTAACGAATAAATTTGGGTATGCTTTATTTTACAGAATTATATGATTCAGCTACATGGTTGATTTACTCAATGCTTTATACCTCTTATTGATTGGAAATATGCTTGGCAATGTATATTGCAAAGTACTGTAATAAAAATATGGTCAATGTAAAAGAAACTAGAATGTTATGCATATAATAGAATAGCAATTAATTTCTTCTCTTTTCATGGCAAACCTGCAGAAGGTGGTCATCAATCTCCTTCGAAAAGTCTGGACAAGTTCGAACTCATTTTCAGGATTTCCAGGAAAACTTTCACCTACATATGTTCGCTCGTGAGGGAAGACTTGACTTCCAAGTCAAGGGAATTCACATTTCTAAACGGAAGACTACTGTCTTTACACGATCAAGTAGCAGTAGCTTTGAGGAGGCTTGGCACTGGCGATTCACTAGCAGCGGTTGCCGATTCATTCGGGTTGAACCACTCGACCGTCTCCCAAGTTACTTGGCGGTTTGTAGAGGCTCTTGAACAACGAGCGCTTCACCATCTCAGATGGCCATCGACTGAGCTGGAAATGGCTGAAATAAAATCAAAGTTCCAGAAATTGCAAGGCCTTCCCAATTGCTGTGGCGTGGTTGATACAACCCACATTACTATGCTCCTGTCCACATCAGATCCCACCAGCAATGTATGGCTCGATCGTGAGAAGAACTACAGCATGGTGTTGCAGGCGATTGTGGATCCCGAGATGAGGTTTTTGGACATAGTTACTGGATGGCCAGGGAATATGGAGGATTGGGTAGTGTTTCAGAGCTCAACCTTCCACAAGCTGTGTGAAAATGGGGAGAGGCTAAATGGGAAGAAGGTGCAGCAGCTTTCTAAAGAAGGCTCATCAGAGATAAGGGAGTACATAATAGGGGATTCAGGGTTCCCTCTGCTGCCATATCTCATGGTTCCGTATGATAAAGAGCTCTCCGAGTCGAGAGCTGAGTTCAATAAACGACATCTGGGTACCCGGGTAGTGGCTCAAAGAGCACTAGCGAGGCTGAAGGAGACGTGGAAGATCATCAGAGGGCAAATGTGGAGACCTGATAGGCATAGGATGCCGAGGTTCATTCTGGTGTGCTGCTTGCTTCACAACATTGCTATTGACATGCAAGATGAGGTTCAGGCTGCAATTCCCTTGTCGGACGAGCATGACTCCGGCTATACGCAGCAGATTTGTGGGTCAGTTGAAGTGAAAGGTGCAGAAATGAGAGACGAACTGTCTCTTTACCTGTCCCAGAGACGGCTACCGTGATGATCTGGTCGACTATGGATAAAAGAAAACAATGAATTGTACATAACCTTGGCCGATGTGTTTTCCTTGAGCAATCCAGATGGAGTCGGGATTAGTTGGTAGGACATTCGTATAGAGATGCAAGCTCATAGGTTGCTTCTAGTTCAAGTAATTTGACCTGATATTTTCTCAGAATTAATTTGTTAAGGCGTACAAACCAAATTCTGTCTCAGCATTTACTCAACACCAAAACTAGCCGCTAAAACCGTGCGACTGTACACAATTTATGTTCCCCCAACAGCTAATTTTGGCGTTTTCACTGTGATTATTTAAATATTTTCAGGAACTTTTGCCCGGTTTGTTCATCGTTTTTTAGTACCTGACAGGGCATTTTTTTCTAAATAGTGTTATGCCTCAAGGTTGGAATGATACTCATTTGGTTTTGAAACTGAAGCTGGATTGGGAGTGCCTCCATGTTCTTTTGAGGATGTATCGGTTTGCTCTGACTTGGTCCAAATGAATGGTTTGCTCTGACTTGGTCCAAATGAATTGTAGCTACGATCCATTCGCTACTCCATTCTCTTTAACGGTGAAATTGAGCATTTCTTCTCGCCCTCGAGGGTAACTCGCCAAGGGGTTCTTATGTCTCCTTTCCTCTTCATTCTTATCTCCCAACACTTTTGACATTTGTCATCGAGAAGGCGATTTTCGGAAGGGCATTAAGTTGAAGCAAACACGCCTAGTACTTACTCATTGCTTCTTGGTAACAGCATATTCATTTTCGAAACAGCCAGCCCTCTGGAAGTAAAGAGGATTCTGGGTGTGGTTAATGACCATGGAGTACTCACAGGTTAACAAGTCAATGCGGTAACAAATCCTAAATCTTTTTTCAATCATAATGCCCCTCAAGGAGAAAGCGATATGATTATTCCTGCCATTGGTTTTGCAAGCTCCAATTTCCACTCCAAATACCTTGGGGTTGCGAGTTGCGACCGAGTTGGGCGGTTCTAAGGAGATTTTTGCTTCTTTATAGTAGAGTATAGACGAATAGAGAGAAATAAGGAGGAAAGAAGGAAGATCTATGGCAAAAAAAAAAAAAAAGGGACGAAGGAAGATAAAGGAAGACCATGAAGGAGCAAAGAGGTCTTTTGCTTTCCTCCTTATTTCTCAGCTTTGTAAAAAGAAAGGTAGCCGCAAGAGTAAGACATTGCGAGCTAAGATGGAAATTCTGAAATTTGCTTAATTATTGGTCTTGCTCCCACCTGAAACTTCATCCAAGATCACAATACATTGCGAGCTGCGGGAATGAATAATTAAGCGAGTTGCAAGTAGAGGTGAGGTAGTGGCTAATAGCATCTCTGCAGTCAGTTGGAGCCGGAACGAGTTATTCCTTTTAATACACCCGAGCTAAGCCATCTTCTGTCCAAAACTGTACAAAGTCGAACCATTGGGATCTAACCAAAGTCATCGCTCCTGAAAACTGGACAAACAACGAGGGGAGAGGGGAGGTAATCTCTGCATTTTTCACCACCGCCTGCATGCAAGAAGTTGGATACTAAGTAATTATAAAATGTCGAGAGAGGGAAGACAGACTGCAAATGCATTCGACTCATGATACTAAACTTGAAGAGAAAGAACAGCACATGAGCTATAGCTATCACGAAAAAGTCTTGGGAAGAATTCCACTTACCTCCACCACATTTTCCCGCTAGAAAGTCTTGAAAATATGGTCATTGAGAGTCCATGCTCATCACAAATGCTTCGGACCACTCGTGTATTTCAGAATTAGGCACCAGAGAGTCATCGATGGAAGGTCTCCAAGTATTTTCGCCCTGACCATCGAAAACCCACTTCACTCGTGTTGGTGATGTGGGAAGACCGGGTCTTCTCAGTGCTCCGGTCTCCTTCACATCCACCTGTTTCGTCAAATAGCCATAACATTTTATATGCTGCCAAGAGTAAACAAACAACTGAGTATAACATGCTAGTGCTTTTAAGTTTGGCCTCACCAGGGGTTTGGTGTCTGAATGCTGTGGCATGGGTAGTGCATCATTGTTTCCTACATCTGCTAAGCGTTTGATTTTCAGCTTCCCAGTGAACGTATTACCCTGAAGAGCAGAAATGTACATGTCCAGCATTAAGCAGAGCACCCAGAAATGAGTAAGGAAGATTGAAAACAAATCATATATATGGACTCTCACTCACAGTAGAATAATCATCGACTGATATTATAGCCTTGAGCGTAGCTGTAAGGTCGTCGTCTTGTGTGATGTGTCTCTGAGCAGAGACCAGAGATCGGAACTTCCGTCCAGTACCTGGCTCAATGTAATACTGCAGAATAATAATAAAATGAAACCTCTCATTTTTTGGTCACTGGTAATAAAAAAATAGAGAAAGTTCCGACCTTTGCCTAGCACATATCGTTCAGAACAGAGGTCAACCAAAAATAAACATGAAAAGATGATAGAGCTGGAATGGAGTCAAGAGCAGTAGTACCCTGTCATATTTACTTCCATCACTACGTCTCCTTAACTCAACAAGCCAACCGTATGGTAGACCCATTTCTGAGCTGATATCGGTGACAATGGGAACAATTTGCATCTGCAAACAGAAAAAAAATGGTTAAATTACAATATGCAGTTATAACTTGCAAGTTTTACAAGTTTGATAACACAGTGTGTCAACTCACATTGTCCTGGTCAGATCTTGGCTTGATCATCTTTGGCTTTGCAGCTTCTTTACCTCCTGTTATGTGTCTCTGTACAGATGGTAGGGAACGGAACCGCCTTCCAGTCCCTGGCTCAATGTAATACTGCACAAAGGAATGCCAGTTCTCAACCTAGCTTCGAACATTCAGTCTACTAGAAGAGTTTCTAAACACTTAGGTATACAGTTAATTCTTAAGATACTTGCCACTTGGCAGATGGTGTCACTATCCATGCAAGAGAAGCATGGGAACTAAACAGGACGGTTTTCCATTAGCACCTAGGGATGGCAAACTTCCGGTAACCGGTCCATGCTCTTCAACAACCTGGGAGTTATTTGCTAAAGGAGCGGGCAGATATAGTCATGAGCACTTGAATCCAACCCGTAAAGTAGTGCAGTTCAACAATACCCCAGATGCCACCAGACTACAATGCTTTTTAGGACGTTAACTTCACTCGACACTTTGAATATATTTTATCAAGCATGTGAGAGTGGAACCATGCTTTTTAACATCTCTGATATACTAATTAAATATAAATTCTCCACATAACAAATTGAATTGAACTATGTAAGGAAGCACGAGTAAAACTAATAATCATTACATCACCCAGTGCAATTATTATCAGTTGTCACTCAACATTATACTCTCCAGAAGGTTGATTTGACCACGAGATAATAAGCAATAGATGATCTTAGCATCTTGGCCTGGCATTACAACATAACAAACTAGATACCCTTCCTATAGTCAGTTTATCAGCATAGATTGTGACACCTTATCCTTGATAACTGACTTCCATCGAGATGAAAGAAGTTGAAAATGATTACAGAGCCGTAGTACCTTGTCAAACCTACTTGCATCCCTCCTTGGCCTCGACTCCACAAGCCAACCACAAGGTAGACCCAGTTGCGAGCTGCCGTCCGAGATACTAGGAACAATTTGCATCTAACGACAGAAGAAAAAGAATAGAATTTACTACCATGCACTTAACAAAGGGTTTGAAATCATCTTTCACCCTAATCCCCATTACTGAAACTCACATTGTTCTGCTCATATCTCGGCTTGATTGCCCTGCGGTTAGCTACAAATTCTCCCCCTTGCGTAAGGTATCTTTTTACAGCTGATAGTGAACGGAACCGCTTTCCTCCACTCCCTGGCTCGATGTAATACTGCACAAAAAGAAAACCCACATTTCTCAATCTGAAAGCTCCTGGCTTAGTGGCTTTGGGTCTACAACAAGAGTTTCTCAAAACACCAGTTTGGTTTGCTTATATACCACCGTTGCGCTTCCCAGAGAGTCAAAGGACGCGACTTTACCATAGGAAAGTTAAAAAGGAGGGAGGGAGGGAAGCACCTTGTCGGCGAGGGTTCCTCCAGGAAGAATTGTCCGACGGGGTCGCTCCTCGATGATCCAGCCTTCGGGTAATTGGAAACGCGGTGACGGGGACGACGAGGAATGTGCGGTGGCGGCGGCGAGGGAGCAGACGATTTGATTGGGCGGCTCAATCGGAAGCAGCGCCGCGGGGGTGTGATCCTTGCCCTGGTGCTGAACTGATAATCGGCTGCCGGGTTTGGGGATTTGGATGGAAATTCGGGTGGTTGATCGGCCATCCATTGCTGCCGTGGCGGTGGAGGAGAAATTTGGGTGTTGTTGGCTATGTTTTGGCCCTTTGCCTGGTTTAGTGTGAGTGAGAGACGGAGTTGGTGCGAAAGTGTTAGATAGTGGAATGAATCAGTGTGTTTTTACCTTTTTACCGAGCGTGTCGCCGTTTGTTGTTTTACCTTGTTCGAACTTGTAATTTGGAAAGAAGGAAGGAAGGTAGGTAGGATAGGGGTAAAAGAGGAAGGAGGTAAAAAAAATGTGCGGGATGAGGTGGCATTGAGATGGTTAAGCAGCGTGAACTGCGAGGTTAACAGCTGTGTAACGGCTTCCTTAGTTTTACTTTTTTTTTACCCGCTACGACGGAAATAAACTTTGCCCTTTCTTTTCCCCTTTGACGGATAAGCCTTGGTCACCAAGTTTAAGAGGTGATAAATGGGATAGGATGGGGCGTATAATTCTTGATTTTGTACTTGTGTATAATTAGTTAAACTTTTTCTTAAACGAGGTTAAGATCTAAATGGTGAGGTTAATGTTTTTTTATTTCCACTATTTTTAATCAATTTGTATCGTTTTTAATTAGAATTTTGGATATTTTTATAAATGGAACGACAAACCACACCACAAAATACATAAAGTATACTAGAAAACTCATAATGCATAAAGTATATAAGAAGCTCACCACATAAAAAAAACTCATAAAGCATACCAGAATAATCAAAATTGGCCACAAATTTCTTGAAGCAGACCAAAAATTCGTAAAGCTGATCACAAGTATCATGAAGCATACAATAAAACTCAGACTAGACCACAAACAGGACAAGCCATGTCATAAACCAGTTGATCCCAATAATTCGAGTTGTTGGGAGAGGTTCAATCGTGAATCATATACCATCCCAAAAACACATTAAATATACTAGAAAGCTAATAAAACAAACATGAAAATGTAGAAAGAACATCACAAATAGTACAAAACTCACCACACCACAAAACTCAAAGTATACCATAAATTTTATAAAGCTGACAAGTTTTCTGAAGCATACTAGTACACTCATAAAAATTACAAACAGCACAACAAATATCTTGAATCATACCAAATACTCATAAAAATTACAAACTGCACAACAAATATCTTGAATCATACAAAAAAAATGTGAAACCACACAACAAATCTCATTAAACATATAAAAAAGGCGAAAACCCCCAGAGAGAAAAACAAGGACACCAACGTAGCAGTTTATAGCAGAGGCGAAAGGTAACAGATGACATGGCAAACTTTATATATATATATATATTTTTCTTTCTAGGAGCTGCATTTCTCGTTCATGGCCACCCATAGTTTGTTGCGAATTTTTCTGAAGGTTCTATCCAAATTAATATTAGACGCGGAAGAGTTGCCATCCATAGTTTACCACTTTTCATGCACGACTCTTTGGATCACATTGACACCTCAAAGAAATATAGATTGACACTCTTTGGAAAAGTCCATTGGGACTTAGCTTGGAGGAAATTCTAGATAAGGCAACCATCCCACAATTGCTGCCGTTATTGATGAGGGAATTAGGAAGAGTATTAGGTACAACTACCTATCTAGAAAGAAATCGCGGGCCGGCTTCAACATCGAATCATTTTATACAATTTCACCGACTCTGACTTATAGAAGGTTACGTATACCGATGTGGTGATGTATTATTCGTGGCGTGAATGAATGCGTAGGGGTTCAAGAACTGGCTCTGAACTTTTGCTTCTAAGTTCTAACACATAAGTAGAGTTAGGCAGCTGATGATTTATGATGTGAATTACTCCCTTATAGACTCCTTACAATAATATATGGATAGCGCCTTCCAATTCATTCATTCAAAACAAACAAACCTAGCTCTTTTTAATTGAGCATATGCTTGAATTTTGTTGTTGTCTTTGAGTATTCGCAAGAATTATCTATTTGAGTCACGACAGTTCTGACCCCACTATGATTCTTAAGTTTTCTTTTTTTTTTTTTTGGATGAAAACATCTTCAAAGAGTACTTCCTTGTACGGATGACAACTCAATCCACCTCTACCCTGACCAATCCTGTCTTGTCAATGCGGATCAAACTTGTAATTTATGCAATACTAGCACCATTAAAACCTGACTGTACCCTTAATGACTCATTCCCATCATTAAAACCATGTTATTTAGACTTGACAAAGTTGGACGATTAATATTAATTGTGAAATTAAATTGTAATGTGAGTTATCATTAATCTTATTAAAAAATTAATGATAAACATGAAGCAAAATTGTTAAACACCATAACCAAATGTTTTATTTAACCGATAGATATTTGACCGGATAGTTTACCAACAAAAAGAATTCTGATTTAATAGTACCCTTTGTCAAGTAAACCCAACCCATGACCATTCTACTTGCGCATTCGCCGTGTGGTCGCGAAACAAGAAACTTCTTCTCTCTCCTTTCCACACTACAATCACATAAATCATCTAGAATCACCTCCAATTTGTATTCAGCGAGAAAATTGCATGAGTTTGGTAAGTTTACACATTTTCTCACATGTGAATATGTGATGGTCATGATGCTCATGGAAACATACCAGAAGTTTGTTTGTCCATTCGTGACTGTGAAATTTTTTTCCCATGTGACATTTGACTTTTATGTGAGATTAATCAACCGTTAATATTGGGGGTCATGGAGATTCGAACACACAACCACTTGATCAAACCTGCTCGCATACTGATATCATGTCATAAACCAATTGGTCTCAATAACTTGAGTTGTTGGGAGAAGGTTATGCTGGATTTTATACCACACTTTAACATTCTTCACGTCAACCACGAAAGAAAACAATAGTACTATGTTGGGTTATTGTCTTCCCTTGAAGATATAACAAACAGTTATTAGTGTAGGCATCACACATTGAAACTGGCCGACCTGCAAACAATGAGGTCAACATGATCAACGGAACGGTCGAGCTTCTCATGCTTTAGTCTACCTTCATATGACTATTATACAAAGCTACAAAATTTTGTTGATGTACCCATCTATCCTCGAATTAGGTCGACTGGTGGAAGAGCGCAATCAGCCATTATAAACCGAGCGAATCTTATTATAATATTAGGGCTGGTTATTTGGTTCGGATTGTTTGGTTTTACCCGAAACCGGATCGTATAACCCGGATCGGAACCGGCCTGTGACCGGATAGCAAACAATCCAATCTCATATTCAGGCTTAGATTTGAGGTAAAAAAAACCCGAATAAAGACCGGATAACAGACCCCCAACACCTAAAATCAAGATTAAATTGGGACTGGACCGGGTCAAGACCGGACCGGATCAAAACCGGACTGTATCCAATCCAATCTTTGGTCCTTATATTCCCGAAAAGACCGGACTGAAACCAGATCAATTTGATCCAATCTAACCGGACCGAACCGTATAGCCACCCTTAATATATGGACTACGCTGATATCGGTATGAGAATCTGGTCGACTGGTATGGGGAGTAAAGGCAATTTGCCAGCCACCAGGCGTGTCATGGGCATATATATATTTACCTGTCTTAGACTCTCCACCAAATGAGTGAGAGTGTACATTTTTAATTTCAATGTGTAATTTTTAAACATTAAATATTCAATTTTCTATTCTGAATGTTTAATTTTATTAAATTTTTAAATAGTAATATTTAATTACATGAATTCCACATTTGTAGTTAGTTGTCGAGTTTAGAAGAGAGGGGGGATTGGATGAGTTTCCTATTTTTCATTTTAATATTTTTTTGTATTAAATTTTTATGTTTAATATCCTAATTGTCATTTTTATATTTACTCATTTAGGCATCTCTCTTCTCTTTCTGATTTTTTTTAACAAAAGATAATCATATTGATTGATAGAAAAGGTCAAGGATTACACCCTGGAATCAACCCAATAACAAAATCATACAATCGATAAATTTCATAATATTTTCTGACTTTTTTTTATAATCTCCAATTAAAAGGAAATATTTTCTCAAATTTTGTTATAGCTATTGTAGCCGCCGAAGCGCAGCTATGGGACTGGCTATTATTTCGTCAATTTATCATAACATAAAATCTACCTGTATCAATCAATCTAATTTGTTGAATAAGTAGTACTAATCTTATAAAATATTATATTCATCAATTTGAAAGTGGCATGTATGATGTATAAGCTATGTGACCATGTTTCCAAAAATATAAGAAACTCAATTCTATCTCATGAGTTAATTCAGAATTGAATAGAAAGATTCTGCTAAATTATTGCTTCATCTAGTGTGTAAATATAGGATTCATTTAGAAATTTATTAGATCGAAAATCATACAATCGACATGAAGCCGCAGGCAAAGAAATTGTCTTTCTCTTCTCTTCCTGTTGGCTTAATCAAACTTAAGAAACTCGTAAATTTTCACTTAAAAGAAATTAAGTTTGTGTTATAGTGTTTTTTACAATTCCAGGACTGATACATGTTTCGGTCATTTAATCTCACTCATAATTTATTTAGTAAATTAAATATCTGATTTTTACTCATTTATACATTTAAGGATCGTGATTGTAGAGGTTAATTTGAGATCTCATCTTTTAACACTTGATCATGCATATTAAAAGTTAGAATCTTAATATTAGTTAAAATAAACATAGTGTATGTCAATAAATTGAGAGAAATATACGAATTTGGGGAGAGAAAAAATCATTAGCCTTGTTAGTTGTGAATGTTTAGATACCATAAGTAATACTGCAAACATTCGGATATGGAAATACAACAGAGTTACTTTGTGCGTTGTGTTTTCTCTGCTACAGAGATTCTCTTCTTCATATGTGATTACATTGCGTGTTCAATAGGAGCGGATTAGTCATGATGGATTGGTGCTACTTGCTACATGCACCAAATGAGTCTTTTAGTATATGATTGTACAATACAATGATACGCTTCTTATATATGATCTTGGGAAAGCAGATAGAGCATGGTTGCTAATGGAGACTTGCTGTTTGTTAATAATGGTGATGGAAGTTTAATTAGATGCTTTTTAGTAGGAAATTGGCAGGTTGCTATATTGAATGTTAGAGATTGTTAGACATTGAGAGAATTAGGAGACCCTTCTATTTCCCGTTTCCTTTTTGGTGCATGTTGTGATCAGTTGGGTTGTATACACTCTTGTTTTTTCGCTAATTGAATATATTTCACCGTCATAAAAAAATGCACATGATTCAATACCATATAACATAAGAAATCATAATATCTCCTATTATGTAAAGTATATACAAATCTAAAACTTGTACATAGATAGATTGGCAACCATCCTAGGAGCCATAAACTCATAAAATGGCACTGTTATCACAGTGCTAATTACAGATAGATACGTTAATTGCCAAATTAGAAAAAGGAAGGGAGGGGGGTGGAAAAAAAAACTTACTTTCAAAGTCAGTCAGTCACTCCATGATTAGTTCCTCTATATATCCACAAGTGAACTTCAAAGAAATTACCAGTAAAGCAAGAAGCTAGCGCAACTATGAGACTCGCTATTATTTCGTCAATTTATCGTAACAGAAAATCTACCAGTGTCAATCAATCTAATTTGTTGAATAAGTAGTACTAATCATATAAAATATGATATTCATCAATTTGAAAGTGGCATGTATGATATATAAGCTATGTGATCATGTTTCCAAAAATATAAGAAATTCAAGTCTGTCTCATGAGTTAATTTAGAATTGAATAGAAAGATTTTGCTAATTATTGCTACATCTAGTTTGTAAATATAGGATTCATTTAGAAATTTATTAGATCGAAAATCATACAATCGACATGAAGCCGCAGGCAAAGAAATGGTCTTTCTCTTCCTGTTGGCTTAATCAAACTTAAGAAACTCCTTAAATTTTCACTTAAAAGAAATTAAGTTTGTGTTATAGTGTTTTTGACGATTTTAGGACAAATACATGTTTCGGTCATTTAATCTCACTCATAATTATTTAGTAAATTAAATATATGATTTTTACTCATTTATACATTGAAGGATCGTGATTGTAGACGTTAATTTGAGATCTCATCTTTTAACACTTGACCATGCATATTAAAAGTTAGAATCTTAATATTAGTTAAAATAAACATAGTGTATATCAATAAGTTTCTCCAACAATTGTCTCTCACGAAATATACAAATTTGGAGAGAGAAAAAATCATTAGCCTTGTCCGTTGTGAATGTTTAGATACCATAAGTAATACTGCAAAGATTCGGACATAGAAATACAACAGAGTTACTTTGTGCGTTGTGTTTTCTCTGCTACAGAGATGCATTATCTTCTTCATATGTGATTACATTGCGGATTCAATGGGAGCGAATTAGTCATGATGGATTGGTGCTACTTGCTACATGCACCAAATGAGTCTTTTAGTATATGATTGTACAATACAATGATACGCTTCTTATATATGATCTTGGGAAAGCAGATAGAGCATGGTTGCTAATGGAGACTTGATGTTTGTTAATAATGATGATGAACTTTAATTAGAGGCTTTTTAGTAGGAAATTGCCAGGTTGCTAGTGAATGTTAGATTGTTAGACATTGAGAGAATTAGGAGACCCTTCTATTTCCCGTTTCCTTTTTGATGCATGTTGTGGGGACAGGTTACGATGATTACTATTTTATAGTAATCACCGTGGTTACTAAGGGCAAATTGGGTATAACAAAAAATTTATTAATGATCTTTTTTAATAAATTATATTTTAGGAAATTACATAAATATATTAAATACAATTTTTCTCTCTCTTTCTCTCACTTACACAATTTTTCAGCCAGATCTCTCTTCCTTCTTTTTCTCAATCTTTTCTTGATTTCGTTCATCCAAACTAATAACGCTGCAACAACAAAACAATAAATCAATACCAATCCATTAAAAAAATACTACCATTGTACAAAACATCAATATCATTCAAGAAATAAAAACACTACCATTTCACAAAACATCAATACCATTGCAGATTTAATCACTACCAATGCGACAAAATCAATACCAATGTAACAAAATCAATACCAATGTAACAAAATCAATACCAATGCGACAAAATCAATACCAATGCGACAAAAATAATACCAATGCGACAAAAACAATACCAATACGACAATAACACTACCACTACGAGAAAAAATGACTACCATTTTAAAAAAAAAATCACTACGGAAAAAAAATGACTACCATTTAAAGAAAAACATACCAATCCTTAACAACATGATATTCCTCCCTCCTCCGTCAGCCACCACCACCTAGAACTTCTCTCATCCTCGAGAAGTCTCCCTTTTCATCAAATCAGCCGACATGGGTACGCCGGAGACATCCAGGGAGCCTGCCCGGACCGCATCCTCGACGACATCGGCGGCGCTTTCGGCATAGGCGCAGTCAGCGGTTCCGCCTTCCACTTCATCAAAGGGGTTTACAACTCCCCTGTTGGGACTCGCCTAACCGGCGGAACCCAGGCCGTCCGGATGAACGCATCTCGCGTCGGCGGCAGCTTCGCCGTCTGGGGAGGCCTCTTCTCGGCCTGGGTGGCGCTGACGAGGGCGAGGGTGCTGGAGACGAGGGCGAAGCTGATGCTGAGAGGCGGGGTTTCGATGTTGGGGATGATTTGATCAAGAAGACGATTTTCATTAGGGCTTCCATTTGTGGGGAGAATCATCATGATACGGTTGCGGCGAAGGAGGGTGAGAGCTTGCGGCTACGGCGGGTTTGGCTGTAGAAGTAGGGTTAGGATAGAATATATAGAATAATCAAGTGTAGTCTTTTTTTTCTTCCAAAATTATCCTAAGGCAATCTTAACCGTAAGATTAAAAAAAGAGGAAAGAGAAGAAAATAAATGGTGGATACTGATGTAACCACAGTGGCTACTAGAAATTCAGTTTCCACCCTAACGCATTCCGCATGTTGTGAGTTGGGTTGTATACACTTTTGTTTTTTCCTTAATTAAATATATTTCACCATTATAAAAAAAAAATGCACGTGATCCAATACCATATAACATAAGAAATCATAATATCTCCTATTATGTAAATTATATACAAATCTAAAACTTGTACATAGATAGATTGGCAACCATCCTAGGAGCCATAAACTCCTAAAATGATACTGTTATCACAGTGCTAATTACAGATAGATACGCTTAATTGTCAAATTAGAAAAAGGAAAGGAGAGGTGGAAAAAAAACTTATTTTCAAAGTCAGTCAGTCACTCCATGATTAGTTCCTCTATATATCCACAAGTGAACTTCAAAGAAATTACCAGTAAAGCAAGAAGCTTAGCGAAAGAATGATTAGTAGTGGAGGAATCGTCACACACGCGGCTAGCTAGGTGGGAAGGCGGGAACTTGGACCTGCTGCCTCCCTGCCCTGTTGTGCAAGTCAGGAAAGTACCAAAACACAATTTATTATTTATCCTGATAATAACAAATTAATAATTATTATTATTATTATAAAATAAAATAAAATAAAATAAGCCACTTTCCCCGGACTCGCTCCACTCCAAGACTCAACTGCTGCAAACAATGCAACTAATAAACGAAAACGCGGCCGGCCGCGGAAAACAGCCTACTGCCAGCGCCACCCACCTTCCACTCCTTACTTAATTACCCAAAATGCCCCCGCGGTAGCCCTAACCCGTTTACTTAGCCCCCAAGCCAAGAACAAACTATTCGAGAAGAAGGAAGAGAGAAAGAAACGGGAGAAATCCGTCACTTCCCCACAAACACGTCACTGCCACTACTAACGCCACCGCCTCACGCTTTCCTTCCCCCCCTTCTTCCTTCCTTATAAATACTTCTCCTCCAACCCCCAGCCCTTTCCCCCATTCCACACTCCAAAACATTTCCTCCCCAAACAAACAAACATGACCATGAAGAGATTCCCCGCCGCCGCGGAGCTCGACGACATGGCCAACTGCTTGATTCTCCTCTCCAAGATCGCCACCGAGAACGACGCCGTTTTACACCGTCGTGACCAATCCAACGCCACGACAGCAGCGGGGGACGGTCGCTTGTTCGAGTGCAAGACCTGCGAGAAGAAGTTCCCGTCGTTTCAGGCGCTGGGAGGCCACCGGGCCAGCCACAACAAGCCCAAGCTGCAGCAGGCCCACAACAACCACCCCCTGGATTCGCCCCCGGGAGCGAAGCCCAACAACAAGACCCACGAGTGCGCCATCTGCGGCCTGGAATTCGCCATGGGCCAGGCCCTCGGTGGCCACATGAGGCGCCACCGGGCCGCATTGAGTTTGCTGCCTGCGGTGGCCATGATGAAGAAATCCTCCTCCTCCCCCGCCGCCGCCGCCGCCAAGAGTACTGGTCACGGCGGGAAGAGGGTTATGTGTTTGGATTTGGATCTCAACTTGACTCCGGTGGAGAATTACGACTTGAAGTTGCAGTTAGGCAGCGCCCTCCAGATTGCTTGAATCATTTTCTTTTCCCGATTCTTATTACATTCGTTATTTGTTGCCTCATTTTTTTTTTTAGATCTAGACAGAACAGAGATAGCGTGTTAGTTTCATGGACATATGTAGTCTTTTTTCTTCCGGACAGAGATGGATTATTTTTGTTCATATCTCATTCATTTATTAATATCGACAGATTTCTCATATCTGGTTTCTCTCTTGATCTTATTACGTTTGGCTACCACAAATCAGTTTAGTATATTGTTGGGTCAGGTAATTAAAAAGAGCTCGCGCGCCATCTGTTAATATTGTTGGTATCAGAGCTGGTTTGACCAAGTGGTCGTGTGTTCGAATCTCCACGACCCCCAATATTAACAGTTGATTAAAGCACAAGGTATGATGGGCTTGTGCAAACTTCAAGTCCGTGAGTTGGCTTTCGTTTAAGGGGGCGTGTTAGAGTGTGGTATAAGATCCAGAATAACTTTCTCCCAACAACTCGAGTTATTGGGAGAAGGTTATGCTGGATCTTATACAGGCCCATGTATGATACTTAACCACTTCCTTACAGTGTATTCTCATGCCCCGTCAAAATGTATCAATACAAATTGAATTGAACAAATACAAAGTAACTGAAATAAGTAAATGATATTTTAATAATTTGAATCGGACCAAACGTACTTATAATTTTGTTCTTCGTTTGCTTTTGGTCTCGTCCTATCTCCTTTCGACCTGGTACTACACCGATCAATGCCCATTAATTATCCCACGTCAATTAATGACATTATCCCACGTCAATTAATTTGGTTTCATTTTCAGTCAGTCACGCACGACTAAGGTGTTTGGGGACCTATCTATTGAAGAAAAGGAAGAGGAGACTAACGTGTTTCGGACTTGTAGTAACGAAATGGTGTGGTAGTACCCATATAATTTATTCATATACTGATAGTCTGATGATAATTAAGTTGCGGTCCAGCTCCAGCATGCTTCACACTTCAATTTGTGTACATTATTTTCCAGTTGTCTCCACGATCGACCCCACACCCTACACTACAGATCGTATTCATTATTGTTTAATTATTAACGACTATGAGAATCCATGCTTAAATCAGATCTGATAGTTAAGGCTGCAAATGAGAAGAGCGGCTAGTTAGCGAGTATGGCTCGATGTTCGAATAGGAAAAAGCCCGGTCGAAACTTGACTCGTTTGCTGATGAGTCGAATTGCTGCTAACTTTGTTTAACTGGCGTGCTAGTTAGCTCGGCTCGATGGCCGGTTAAGCTCAATTTGTGAGACGGCTTGTTTAGAGTTTATTAGAAGTCTCAATATTGTTGCTAGAGAACAAACTGGATTATCGGTAATGGGCGAATCCATTTCTATCTTATGGGTTGGGTTTTGATGATTCATGTGATTGTTAAATTATCTATCTCACCCTATGTGATGTTTAAGAAATTGAGCATGCGATCAAATATGTTTTATTTTTCAATTTTTAAAAGAAATGATGTATTATAGATTGCTTCAATACTATGAAAGAACATGATTTGGACTAGTTAAAATTTATGAACTAAATAATATAACACCAACAAAGTATAACTTCACTACATGAGATTAGTTAATGATGGAAATTTGATTTTTTTTATCAGGACATCAATCACATGTATCTTGTAATGACATACAAAATAAATGTATTAAACACAAGTGAAGCTTTTAGTAAACAAGCAAGCTCGAACTCGACTTGACTCGTATACCAACGAGCGGAGCCCAAGTTAGGGTAAAGTTTGACTCGACTTGGCTCATTTGCAGCCCTACTGATATTGCATATTCAATTGTAATTAAAACACAAAGCTAGATGTAGACATATGATATTATTTTAGAGCACTTATATTATGCCTTAAAATATTGGTGTTTCGAGATACAAATTGAACTTGTACCATAAAATGCATAATTTTCATACCTTAAATCCAAGAAACTAACAAGGACACAAATTCATAGCAACACAACATCCACCATAGCATCGTAAATATTGACATAATGTCACATAGAGACGTGATCGTCTCTACTATATGTAGTGGAGTGCGGTATGTGGAAGGAGGGGACAAGATTTGCAAATTAGGGTTGAGACTTTGGGTTTCATTGGAGAGTTAGGAAAGTGACCGAGTGGGCTATTTACATGGATTGTGAAGTGGACTAGGTTTACGATCTGGTTAGGTAAACTATGAGTCAAACCAGACTAGGCCAAGATATCAAAAGCCATAATGACCATGGACAAACTAAATTATTTTTAACAATATAAGGTTAGAACCAAACTGTACCATCTGTTTTGATATACGCATTTTTTCAAATGGTCCAATCTATTTTGCAACCCCATAATCAGTGTTTGCTAAACTGTACCGTACTAGCGATTCAACAACAACAATAGAATACAAGAACTCAAACCAGGATAGGATTTTACATGTATGATACGTTAATCCACGATTTTGCAACCCCATAATCAGTATTAACTAAACCGTACCGTACTAACGGTCTGACACAACAACCAACTATCGAGTATAGGATTTTACATACTTAATATGTTAAACCATCATTTATTCACAAAATATGCTATGACTAACTTATCTCATACTACTATTTTACAATTCTTGGCCACAACCGAAATCGCAACTAATTCTCTTAGCAATTAGCAGCAAACCGGTTTGAGTCGATGCATCCCACGTGTACGGCCATTGATGAATGTAGGAACTAGGAAACATGACTTGTGTGTTCTTGTACGAGCACGCGGGTTGTGCCAAAGACCTAAAGTGTGAGCTCTGTTCTCCGTCACGAGAAAAGATCGAGTGCTGCTCTCCACAGGATATTCAATCATCTATCCGTCCATCCATCCATCAGATTCCCTTCCTCGCCGCCGCAATTCTGCTCCGTTCCCTTGTCGTTTCTCCTGCAACCGACGCGTGTCGCTTCGTAGTGAAAACCCCCCGTTTCCCGGCTAGCCGATTGGCGGCGGTCGCTGAATCCTCTGCCGCTCGACTCCGATAGGCAGTCACCGGAGCATCCAAATCTTGAATGAACAGTTAATTAGCTCGGCGACTCGGAAATTGTTGGAAAGAAAACAGAAAGTGAGTGAAGAATCGTGAAGCGGAAGCCATAATCGACGAGATGGTACGGCTGCACAATTTTTTTTTTTTTTTTGTTTAAAGTGCTTTTCTTTTACCCTTTCGTTTCTGTTGTTAGTCAATGGGGCTAGCTCTCTAAGTAGATGAAAATGGTGTTGTTGGACCAAGAATTAATCAGGGTTCATGTTCTTTTTTTGAGAAAGCTCGTAGCTTTGACCTGAATTGTCTTCTGCTGTGGACTCTGGTGGACTTAGCCACCATATGTTAAATGCCATGGTGATGAGATGGAGTCTTGTTAAAAGTTTTGGGAGAGGATATGTTGGCAGTCGGCAGAGTAAATGTTCTTAGCTTCTGCTAGTTCTTCATTACAGAATTGTGTGAATTTGCTGAATTCTAGATATACAGTGGGGTTTTTTTGTGTTATACTCAGTGAGGCTCCAACCTTCTTACGGTTAGGATCAAGGCTTAGTTCGTCTTTGCCCCCTTTTATTATTGTGGGTGTGCTTTGCAGGACGAGGGTTTATGGTTGCGGAAGGATGCTGATAGAGATCTATCATTTAATAGCTCTTCGTCAAGGGTAGAACCTAATAAGAGAACTCATCAGTGGTTTATTGATGGTGCTGAACTTGACTTGTACCCCTACAAAAAGCAAGCTATGGAATCTTCAAATGCTATCATGCCAGGCTCCGAAATTCCCTCTGGAGGTCCTTCTGCATGGGATCATCATTCCACCAATTTTCAATCTGACCAATTTGTCCACCAGTTATTTCAATCCGAGGCAGCAGGGTCGGACAGCTTCTCCGAGAGGATTGTATCTTCGGGAGATCCTGAAGCATGCATTAGCTCTGGTGGTTTAAGAACAGTCAAAGTCGATCAGGTGAAGGACGAAAACAATGTATATCAGGATCAAAAGCAACTTGGTTCCCCTGCTGAAAATGTCACCAGCATCTCTGAGAACCAGGAAGTTGATAATGCAGGGAGTGAAAGTCATTTCATATTGATGGAGCAGGGTTCCCACAAGGAGGAAGTGAATGTTCTGTTGATTGGTGAGACCTACAATGGAGGGGAAGAAGTCCGTGCTGAAACGATCAACACTGCCACCAATTATGTTGAAGGGGTCAATAATGTCGGCACAACTAATATTTGCAGTGATAAGGGAGACGGGAACGTGATACTGTTTAATGGACTTCATGACGTGCATGATACTGTTGGCCAACCCCCCAGCAGCTATGAACAACCCTATAATGTGTCTTTGGCTCACACACCAGAACTAGTCCACAAAAGCGAGTTTGATGCCTCGAATTCTAGTGCTGCAGCTAAATCCAAGCCACAATCCTCTAGGAATAAACTAGAGTTGAAAACATCCAGAAAAGAAGCTCCACCGAACAGTTTCCCTTCTAATGTCAGAAGCTTGTTATCCACTGGGATGCTTGATGGGGTCCCTGTGATGTATGTTGCATCATCACGAGAGGTAAATCTTATGAACATTTTCTGCCTTCGATTAGACATTTGGCGATGTTGAGTTTAGTAAAGTCATGTTTATCTGCATAATTGCAAGGTTATCCGTGCTGTGGTGAAGGGTACTGGTTATCTCTGTGGTTGTCAGTCTTGTAACTACTCCAAGGTAGAAGATATTATTTTATCATTGCACTCTCTATGGAGGTGTTCTTGGAGATGCTAATTGTTAAGCCTCCTAAATTTCATTAGGTGCTGAATGCATATGAGTTTGAACGCCATGCTGGTTGTAAAACCAAACATCCGAACAATCATATCTACTTTGACAATGGGAAGACTATCTATCAGATAGTGCAGGAGTTGAGGAGCACACCCGAAAGCAAATTGTTTGATGTTATCCAGACGGTGTTTGGTGCGCCAATCAATCAGAAGTCATTTAAAATCTGGAAAGGTAATCTTTTGACCATGGTCTGGAGAGGTTCGCCCTTCCATTTGGCACTAATTTGTGTTTGCTTTCCTGAATCTACATATTCTGACAGCAGTCCTTCTCTTTTGTAGAGTCATTTCAAGCAGCAACACGGGAGCTGCAGCGTATCTATGGCAAGGAAGAGTTGAATCTATGAAACTGATGTTCTGCATTGAAGTTGAGGCTCCTGCTTGAGAAATGGAAGTGCATGGCCAGGCGCATGCTGGTATAGTAGCAGGAGCAGTAGCTGAAGAAGCATGAAGATCCTGCTAAGTTGTGGATTGCATGACCAGCGTAATGCCGGTTGTGCGTTCTTTAGTTGATTCTATGTAAACTAACTAACAAGGAATGCTAAAAGCACTCGTGTTTTGTTGTTGATTGAGATTCATTTTCTGTCATATTAAGGACGAAGCAAAAATGGCCTGGCTTTTCTTCTAAGTCATGCAATTGGAAGGACATCGTCTGAGAAAGATTCCTTTACATTCCATAGCTGAATAGAGACGGTCAACACTCTCAAATGAAGAGTAGAGAAGAGAGGACAACAAAGTATAATATAATATATGTACTAATTTCTTACCATTTGAAATAGTTGTCCAGCTTGAGTTTAGTGGGATGGTCGAAGAGAAAATCAGAAGAGGGAAAATTGTGAAAGTCAAACAGCATCCTCTAAATACAAATTACATTGCCATGTACCAAAAACGCCAGAACCAAAAAAAAAAAAAAACGAAATAGTAATCAAATAGACCAAAAAAGAGTATAATAAACAAAGAAATGGAGAATTCATCATCACTCATGGTAGTCATCAGAGAACAGGTAACTAGCTGCATTTCCCTATTAGCTTTGCCTTCAATCCAAGTGGGTGGAGGGTCTACTTTGGATTCAGGATCCTACACAAAAACATACGAGCTGGGACCTTCTGTAACTTATCCGCAGCAACCCGATTTCGGGCCCTCTTGGCCAGCACCAGCTGCTTGATCTCCTTGATTGATTCGAATGGTCGTTGGCTGGCAAGTATACAAGAAAACACAGTATAGGAGAGCTGGCATTGCAAAAAATGATCATCATAGTAGGAGTCGAAAGTATCTTTTGACAACAAGGAAACTACCTCGGTCCTTGAATCGGTATCTGCAAGCCTTTGCTTGATGTCCCTTGCTATTGAGAAGAAAACCTCCTCCACGTTTAGATTTGTCTTTGCACTCTGCGATTCCCAAGTTTGTGGACTGTTAGTTAGTAACGAGATGACTTCAGTGGAGATTGATCCATGTAAAAGGTCTCACTTACAGTCTCGAAGAATTTGATCCCATACTCATCGGCAAGTGCTTGTCCCTTTGCTGTAGGCACCGCCTACCAGCAGAAAAAGTAGACAGTATGAGAATTGTATGAAATAACCCCGTTTTTAAAAGAAAAAGAGAGGCAATTAATAAAAATGGAAGCATACCCGTTTGCTTTCGTCCATGTCTGCCTTGTTTCCAACCAATATCTTGTTAACATTATCAGAAGCATGTTGTTCAATGTTGCGGATCCAATTTCTTATGTCTGCACCAAATAGTAGTCAGTCGGAGACAATTCCAGTGAGGTTATAAAGGTGAAAGACAAATCGACTCTCACAGAGGAAATGAGTGCAACTTCTTAACCATGAATCCCATGATAAGGGAACGCGACTACCAGCAACATGCAAGGGAAATAAAGGAGACATACTGTTGAACATTTTTAAACAGGTCAAAACTTGAACGGCTCTATTTAGTTTCAGCTGATAGGAAAGAGGAGACCTACTGTTGAAAGATGATTCATCAGTAACATCATAGACCAGTAAAATTCCCATAGCTCCACGGTAGTAGGCTGTAAAACATAGCAGCAGATCATCAGTTACCAAGATCACAGATGAGAACAAGGTCCGGAAAGAAGAATAGCAAGTTTCACCCTCTCTGGCAAAAACTATAGATGCTCAGCAACTAAAGCTTCTAAGCTTTCAGAGATCCATCAACTACTCAGCTGTGCAGGTAAAATGCATGTAAAACAGTAGATAAGGAGCAAAAACACATCATCTTTTACCACTGACTACTAACAAATAAGAGCCTACCAGTTGTGATCGTTCTGAAACGCTCTTGGCCTGCTGTATCCCAAATTTGAAGCTTAATTCTCTTGCCATCAAGCTCGATGGTTCTGATCTTAAAATCAATACTGCACAAGGGAAGTACTTGGAGAATTTAGAGCGCTCAGTCAGGATCCAAAACCAACATGGTAAGATGGAAAGTGCCAACCCAATGAAAACATACCCTATAGTGGTGATAAAACTAGTAGTGAAGGAGCCATCAGAGAAGCGCAGAAGAAGGCAACTCTTGCCCACACCTGATGATATAGACAACACAAACCGATCAAAAAAGAGGGTACTTGTCAATTTGCAGATAGAGATTGTGAGTTTCTGCATCATAATCAAACACAAGTTCACACGGAATCAACCCTGAAGAACCCGTTTTCCAGCATCCTTCCAATGTATATGGATTGATATTCTGGTCATCATGTTCCTAACAATTCATGTTTAACATTCTTGATATCGCACTATGTAATATCTATCTTCGGTGAAAGAATTCGCTTGTACACCTCAATCAGTGTAAACAGGAAGTAAAATGAGCAGGTAGCAAGCATCCAGATAAAATGCATGGAGCGGGTTACAACAGGAGGAACAAGTTAAACCGCAACCTCAAGGAATGCCACTTAGCCAAACCAGTGGAAAGAGACATAGAGATGTAACCCCACGATGCAGCGAACAACCATTGTTAGTGGGTGAAAGTAACAACGTACAGAATTCGTCGAGACAGATCAACTCTCAAGGAAAGAGTTTTTCATAACCAAATACAAAACTGAACCATTACTCTTTCTCCTAATCGAACCTTTTTTCTATATAAAAAACGACTATCACATTCACATCAATTGGATCGCAGAGCTAAATACAGAAACCATTAATTCCATCATCAAGTGCCATTAGAATCAGGAAGTTAACGTATGGGGACATCAGATGCCTTGCTTTCTGGGTACAGGAATGGAGAAAGGAGGCGTAAGAGTAACAATGTACGTACCACTGTCGCCAATCAGAAGTAGCTTTATGAGGTAATCGTAATCAGCTCGAGCTCTGGCGGGCGGAGCAGCCATTGTCAAACGTATCCAAACAAGACCTTCACCTCTCAGCAAAACCAAAAACCGAAACGCCAAAAATCAAACAGGAAACCGTACAGAAACTTAACCAAATGCAGAGCGCGCGGGAGGAAGGGGGGAAAAGGTACCAGATCAGAAAACAGGAAAATAAGAGAAGCGACGACAAATGAGATCGAAACGTAAGGGTAAGACGACGGCGGGAACGGAGATTGTAAGAACCACAGAACGGGGCCTCCGAGAGGGTCAGAACCAGGAAGCCATGGGGGGAGGATTGTGAGAGAGAGAAAGAGAAACCAAAACGGTTCTTCTCTTTCCTTTTTTTTTTTGCCTATTTTTCTCTAAGCAGATGGATATTTTTGCGGAGCAGTGTGTATCCGCTCTCCACAGAGGGGCAGAAAGTAAAAGCTTTGAATTGATGAATTCTTCTTTACCCCGCGATAATGGCGGAATGGAATTGCTACAATCTTTAATTATGCTATCCTGGGACTCTCTCCCCGCACAATGACGCCGTTTTGGTTTACCTTGCGGCCTTTTTTTTTTCCCGCCTGCCGGACGCCGATCGCCTTCCGCCGTTGTTTGCTTCTTCCTCCGCCCGCGTGCGGTAACGTCGAACGTGATTTAGCGAGAGAGAGCTGAATGAATAGAAGAAAAAGAGGAGAGAGAGAGAGAGAGTGGGGGTGGCGCCGTATACTTCCAATGAGGCAGCGACAAGTGGACAACGCAGAATGGAGGAAAAGGAGTGTGTCTTTACTCTTTTCTCATTGCTGAGATGGCGCTCGGCGTTTTTTTCTGTAGTTTTTAACTAATTTATTTATTAGACCATTGCCTGCAACCTGGGCACTGCAGGCCTGAGCTGAGACGCATAGGAAAGATGAAAACCCAATTTCCAATGGCAAAGTATACTGGTATAGCCGTAACTTTCACGTTTGTAATAAATATAGTTATAACTATTAGAAAACACAAAATAGTCCAAATATTGGATGATAGTGTGACAAATAAAGTCATTTCCGTTACAACTTTGACGGCGTTAGTGACGCCGTCAGTTATGTTAGCAATACACTGACTAGGATGCCAACGCAGCGCACACATCATCAAATACGTCTCATATATGACATAACATTAGGTAATCACATGTATCACATATGACATATAAATATTAAGAGTATTTATATTATAAATTATCTTAGAGTTGAGCTCCAGCCGAACTTTCGATCTTAATGATGTGTCAATGTTTAATAAATGAGTTGGCACGTGTTCGACTCGACTTGGCTCGTTTATAAATTATTTTGACGGGGTAATCTAATTGTTGTGGTCTCAGGATGATGTCATTGGAGCCCCAAGACATGTTATGGATATGACATTGTTTAATGACTTCATTAATGATTTTGCTCTGCTTGATCTTCCTTTACTTGGCTATAAATTCACGTGGTCAAGTCAACAGGCTAATTCGTCTTTGTCTCGTTTGGATCGGGCTCTTATTTTGCCAGAATGGGAGAGTTAGTTTTCCGATTGTTGTTTGAAATCGTTTGTTCGGATTGGATCTGATCATTGTGCCCTCCTCCTTTCTTGTGGGGAAGATCGTACTATTTGCCGACCTTGGCGATTTGAGTTTATGTGGACTGATCACGACGAGTTCGAGGATTAGCTTAGAATTTTTTTTTTTATGAAGGTGAGGATCAGCTTAGAATTGTTGTGGAGGAAATTTAAATGATACACCAAATACTCTTAGCCATGTCCAATGCAATAGCCGCACATCAGCGATATTGCTTGGAACATCTCCAAGAACATTTCTCTGAGCCAACCTTCAACAACAACAACAGTTTTCCCCACCCCTGACACTTCATGTCCAGTGGCACGTTCGACCTTCTTCCTCTCTTTTACCTCGCAGCTTCCCCACCTTAGACTTAACCTTGGCAGAAGCAATCCCAACTTCCTTAAGCGAATCTCCAATTTGGGCGAGCCTAATGACCTTAACGAGTTTGGTGCTCGGAGGGACTTGATCGGAAGGTGGAGATTGAGCATTGAGCTTTTTGAGAGCATGATTGCAAACCCTTTATGCAGATTGGGAGGCAGCTTTGTCGGAGGTGGCATTGGCGATTGCTTGGTTGAAGATTTTGGTTAGGTCGGTGATGAGAGAGACGGAAAGGTGGATGGGAGTAATCTAAGCATGCCCTCCAGTCAATGCAAGCTCATGGGCATTAGCAATCGCTTCGTTCGTCTTGTGGGTGAACTTCTATGGATCAATAACTCAATCTTCTGTTCTATGAAAAGTTCTTTGTTCTTCCGTCACAAATGACTCGACAGCTGATGTGGTCGTCTGCGTGGCTAGTTAATTACCTCTGGGGACATATCGTTAGTTATGGGGACGCAAATGGTAACGATGCAACTACAATTTGAAATAAATAGGTTAGTAGTAACAACACGTACTTAGATGGTTACCGTGCAACAAATGGTAAACTTAAGTGGCAACCGGTCCAATTAACCATTATTCTGTAATAATATACTTATATCTACAAGTGAGAGTTTTTTTAAGGAGAAGTTAGGTAAAAAAACATCTATTCAAGAACCTCTTATAGCAACATCTTAGTGAAGTCGTCATTCAAAATCAAAGAAAATTATATTTAAAGGGGACAACAATAGAGATACGATTATAAGTTAGGGTTGGGAAAATAGATCAAACTGTTTGAAAAATTATAGACCAAATTAGGCCACACAGTTTGGTCTCGACCGTAGACCATAACCTCAGACCAATCAATCAAATATTGATTATACATTATTGATCGAACAATACTTGAAAAAGAAAATGACACTTCTGTTCAGAAATGAAATGTTCCAAATGTTCATGGAAATTTTTGCTCCTATAGTCCTATTAGACCATTTGTATCTATATGAATTAGGATCCTAATTTATTGATCTCCCCGTTTGAGAAAAAAAAAACCTTAAGAGGATCGAACCATTTTTTGGTTAGAATGGTTTGGTATGATCCGTGGTCAATAAATATAATATATCGATTCATTGGTTTGGTTTGGTTTGGTTTCGTCTAAACCACAGTTTACCCGACCAAAATAGACACATAACAATAACAATATACTAACATTTTAAACATATAACAACATAACACTAACACAAGCTTCTTCATTGGGTTTCTCGGAAATCGTTGTGCTTAAGTAAACATGAAGGAGGTTTGGGTTTTAGGCGTTTTGAGGAGTTTAATCAGGCTTTGTTGGCAAAGGTGGCGTGGCGAATTTGGAAAGAGCCTAATTCTCTGTTAGCTCGGGTGTTTAAGAGTAAGTACTTTCCAAACTCCTCTATTCTGGTGGCCAAGGCTGGATCTTTAATTTGCCCGAATCAAGGGGTTTGGAGGGTGGATTGCCTACGTCACATCTTTGAGGAGGATACTGTACGAGCTATTCTGGCTATTCCGTTGCCTATTTCGCCGGTGCCTGATCGTATGGTTTGGAATGGGGAGCAATCAGGTCGCTATACGGTCAAGTCTGACTATCATTTAGCTGTGGAGCTACGGAGGTATAAGGAGTTAAGGGTGAAGGCGAAAGTGCAGGTGTGGGATCATAGTCTATGGAAAAGGGTTTGGGGGGCTCCCATACCTCCCAAGTTGCGGTATTTCATATGGCAGATGGTTCGCGGTGTCTTGCCAACTGGTGAGGCACTGAGTACTCGGGGGGTAGGGGGGCTGGAGCCATGTCCAGTCTGCGGGGAGGAGGGGGAATCTCTTGAACATCTCTTCTTCCGCTGCCGAGTAGCGGTGGAATTGTGGGAAGGGGCGGGGCTTCTGGCCATTCGCGATCGCTTTCCCCATTGCAATGTTGGGATCTTTTGGCGCAGGTTACTCGAGTGGCGGGAGTTTGATCAGGGGGCCATGATGCATGTTGTAGCCCTTTTCTGGCGCATTTGGAAGGCCCGTAATTGGGTGGTCTTTGAGTTGACTCAGTACATTGTGTCGGTGCTGTTATCTCAATTTCGTTTGCAGGTTGCAGAGTGGGATGGCATAATTACCGGCCAAGGTGCTTGTCGTTACTCAGGGGGCTCAGGTATCAGAGGCCGTCAGGATGTTCCGTTGGGAGAGTTCGTCATGTTCGTGGATGGAGCTACGGCGCCTGGTACACATGGAGCGGGAGGTTGGGCTCTTCAGAATCCCACGGGCATGGTGGTGGCAGCTTCGGCAGCACTGTATGTGGGGATGTGGGAGCCGGCTCTTGTGGAACTACTGGCCTTTCGGGATGCGCTTCGATGGTGCTTGGCGTTTGGATTCCAGTCGATGATTTTTGCAGGTGACGCCCAAGTGATCGTGGGGAAGATCCGGGATGGTGAGGTAGATGATGTCCATGGAGGGATGCTGTTGGAGGAGATTCGAAGTATGCGTGACTTGTTCCAGGAGTTTCGGGTTATTTTTGTGGGTCGGGAGTCTAATAGGGTTGCCCATTTGGTGGCAAGAAAAGCCCTTTCGTTGTCCCCTTCTTTGGTGGGGTTCAATTTTGTTTCTTGGCTGTTTTCAGCTATGTGACTATTTTGTATCTGTCTGTTTTCTCGGTAATACGAGCGATCTTTTGGCAAAAAAAAAAAAACACAAGCTTCTTCATCAGGTTTAAGGTTCAGTTCCCACCGCGAAATATGTGGACTTGCAGCAGCAGCACATGATCACCAATCAGCTCGAACACACAGAGATCTCCTTCTTTAATCAAGTGCTCCTCCACAAACCTCTTCCAATTATCACCAAAACCAACCTCCTGTACATTGTGATCTGGACTAAAGGTGGTAAGTAGATTGAATTCATAAATTGGTGGAATTATTGATTATACTCTTATTATTACCATTCTTGAAAATGTTCATTTCCACTTCCTACCATACTGGTCTGAAAGGGTTGCTTTCCCATCAAGAAACTCTCCATATCGTCTAGTAAACCTCATAGGAAGCATCTGCATATGAAACTCACGGCTACGTAGATAAGTAACTAAATATAAGTATCAACAGTTATAAACCAACTATTCTCAATAACTCGAGTTGTTATGAGAAGGATATTATGGATTTTAAATCACTTTCTTACACACACGATCATTTGGCCAAGCTAGCTCTGATACCATGTCATAAACCAGTTGGTCCTCATAACTCGAGTTGTTGGGTGAAGATTATTAAATTAAAGATCTTATACCACTATCTAACATGTCTCATCAAACAAAAGCCAACTCACGGGCTTCAAGTTTGCACAGACTCACCAAACCTTGTGCTTTTAATCAATTGTTAATATTGAGGGCGTGGAGATTCGAACGCACGACCATTTGGCCAAACCAACTCTGATACCATGTCATAAACCAACGGGTCCCAATAACTTGAGTTGTTGGGAGAGGTTCAATCGTGGATCATGTATCGTTTACTAACACACCACCTCAAACTCGAGTTATTAAGACCAATTGGTTTATGACATGGTATCAGAGCCTTCTGTGACCGAAAGGTCTTGTGTTCGAATTTCAACGACCCCCATTTGTTAAGCACATGGTATTTGAACCTGTGCAAACTTCAAACCCTTGTAAGTAGGGTTGTCCATTTGGTTTTGGTTTTTTGGTTTTAACCAAAACCAAACCAATTAGAAAGCTAATGGTTTCAGTTTTTCGGATTTAACCAATAAGCAACTTAATGGTTTTGGTTTGGTTAAAACCGAAAAACCAATAGAAACCAATAAGAATAAAATTATTTGTCAACAATTTTTTTTTTTTTTCGTTTGACACGCATGTCAATCAATAATTTGTAATGGCCATTTACTGTTATTATGACGTTTATTCAATAAAAAGGCGGGAAATGGGAATAAATATGAGTGTATGAGTACACGTTGGCTTTTTGGTTTTGGTTTTTGGAGATTTGGTTTTTAGTTTTTGGTTTTTCATACTTAATGGTTTGGTTAACCAAATCAAACCAAATTGACAGCCCTACTTATAAGTAGCTTTCGTTTGAACGAGCGTGTTAGTATGGTATAAGATCCATTATGGATCAACTGATTCTTAACATCAACCATCTAAAGCATCTGCATATTATCTAACCTAGCAAATTAGTTGAGAGACAAATATAAATGTTCATATGACCGGCCATAAGCCCATAACTAATGCCAAAAAACAAACCTAGCACATTAGTAGGAGACAAAGAATAAACTTTTACCAAATGAACTTTCTATATGTTCTTTGCTTGGTTGCATTGCACATTTATCACATTCACATCAATATAAAGTTGGATAAATACTATTTCATTATAGAGATAATTGAACTAACCTAATAAATTTTTCTTTGTAAAGAAAATGATCTAATATCAATTCTGGAAGATTTTTTCAATAACTTAAATTTAGTTATTAAAATTAATTGATTGGTGACAATATTTTAAACAAATTTGATAACCTAGCTCTTTCCATAAGGTGGGGAAATGTGAGTTACAAGTTGGGAACCATTTTCCAAGATGTATTGTGACACATTTTTGCATGTGATGGCCATTGGCCATAGCCCCATAGAAAAAGAGAAAGAAGAGGGGCCATGGCTTAAGCATTAGCAAGTTCAATGGTGGTGGAAGCATATACTCGAAATATTCTCTCCCCACAAAGCTAAAGCTGCAACTTTTTAATTAATTCCATCGCCTTTATAAAGGCTAAGCTGCCTAATCTCCCTCCAATCACTTCACTTCTCCTTCCCTCCTCCACCATTCCTGTTTTTTCAAGGTGCTTACTAGGCTAGCAAACATCTAACACCAAATCCCTGCAGGCACCAGCACATCAAGCAGGCGATGAAGATGGACAGCAACAATTACCACGGCGAAGAAGACGAGGACCGAGAAGGCCGTGATCGTTGGAAGGTTTAGCAGAGAGGTTTTGCTCATGAGTTTGGGCAGCTGAGGATCCTTTGGCATTCATTCTGCATCCCTGAAAGTTGATGCTATCTCTGGCTTTACATTTACTACGTACTAGGTTTTGTTCATTGCCCATCCAGATTCCAAACTCAGCTACTATAGTAGCTTTCCGTAACAGAGAAGGTTCTGGTTTTTCTTGTCGCTCTTTTCCCTTTGGTCCAAGCATGTGTGAGCATATCCATGTAACCCTGATGAAGTGCTTAATGTAATGAAGTTTGTTCGTTTTTCGGCTTCCAACTATCCTGTTCGTGTTCGCCTGAATTGTACTGAGCAGTAATTGGAATCCGAATGGTTTTGGAAGTTCATGTTTTTGTACCTTTCGGAACATTTCATGTACAATTCTCAAAGTGACTGGTTGGATACCAAATAAGTCTCTTAGCTGCCGGTCTTCTTTGTGTCGTCGAGTATCAAATATTTGCCCTTCTCGGAAAGGATTGCACAACATGTATCGCGGCAGAAACCATAAAGCTTGTGGTGGTGATGGTGGAGAGCTAATGGAGCACCTCAAATGATCAACAGTAATGCTGGATTGCGAGAGCTGGACACTGTGTTCCTCTATTATGAAGCTGAGTTCATCCCTTTGCCTGACAGCATCAACCAGAATCTAGGATGATGCAGCAGCTTCCGGCCAGAAATGATCAAATCCGTTAATCATAACAAGCAGCTGCATCTTGAGCAAAGGTACTTTGGCTACCAGCCAGCAGCACGACAGAAAAGTGCGACAAAAAAAAACCAGAACCTTCTTGAGCTTAACGATCTATAATGAGCTCAACGATCATACAAATTAATGAGGATCATACTGTAAAGATCCACATTGCAAAAGTAGTAACACGCAAAGTTCATTCATTCATCAAGGGCAGCATAGCCATTTTTCAGGGGCAAAATGTTATCTTTCAAAAGCTCATAGTCCAAATCCAAACCGCAAAAGGAGCAAAATTTTCACAAAATTAAACATCCTACAACATAGCAAGAGACATTTTCCAAACAAAACTCCACTCAATAAAAGAAGCCAAGCACTTTCCCACCAACGTTCTTTCTCCTGGCCTCTTCGTGGTCCATGATTCCAGCAGAGGTGGTCAGCACGATGAAGCCAAACTGCATTCAAGAGCAAGGCAGCTCAGATAAATCTCAATAAAATGAACGCAAGAATATAACACCCTTTGTGATATACACAAAAACAAATGGTTATAAATTCTCAAAAAAGAAACATAGGTTACACCTAGCAGCACATAAAACCCGTTGTTAACGGGAAGCTACCCAAGTAGGGTTATGTCTACTCAAACGGCCCTGTAATCTAAAGATGATGAAATTTAGGTTTCAAGTTGTTCATTGGATTCAGAACCCACTTCAGACCATCGAAAATGGGCTGCCCAGGGAGCAATCTAGCAATCAGTCGACCATTAAACATACAGATTCTAATTGATACATGCTACAAATAACTTATGCTTAGACCAACCTGTCTAGAAGGAAGCAGCCTAGCAGTCCAGCCTTCAATCTCTTTGACACCAACATCAAAGCGAGGGCTGATAACACCGCACTTGTTCAGCCTTCCATTCAACTCAACCACAATCTTGCCAGCTCTGTGGTCATCCACATACTCAAACTCGCCAATGTAACCTACAAACCAATCGAAATCAAGTAATTACGAGTTCTGGCCAAACACTACAATTAAGAAAACCCCAAGTAAATATGGACAGAGTAAAAGTTTGCATAAGAACAAACCATGCTTTTGCATGACCAAAAGGAACTTGATGATCACTTTGGAAGATGGCCTGATCATGACCTGTCGCTTCCCCCTCTTCTCGGCATTGTACATGCTCTTCAAAGCATCATTCAGCACGCTGACTCTCACCATTTTGTTCCAAAAAGCAACTCCTCGCTAGACTGTTGCCAACAAACATTCAAACTATAGATCAAGTAAAACATACACACCGTGTAAAAACAGCTGCAACGCCAGAGCAAACCCACAAACGGGTACATCTCAGGGCACAGCAACAACTGTAGAAGTCTAGATCTTTTTCAAAACCCAAAGGAGATAGAGCATACAAGAATCATATGCACTTCGAAACATCATCGTCGATATAAATAACAAAAATGGATTGTTCGAGCTGAATAAATCTATTCAAACAACCTCGTCGTTAGGCGAACTAATAACAGGAGGGATTAAAACGAAGTAGCCGGAACGAACCGCTGACAGAGTAAGGAGAAGTCGGATCAAGTAACAAGACGATCTTGTAGTGGCAGTAACGAATGACGAAAACGAATGCAGAGAGCCTAGTATGAGAGGAAGATGGGAGGAAGCAAGGGAGAAGCAAATTTACCCGCAAGAATAGAATGCCGCCGCGCTGGTAGTGGGTGAGAGCTCCTTCTCTAGGGTTTAAAGATGGGAGGCAAGACGGCAAGAGCTATGCAAATGCAACCCCTAGCTTTTGAACCCTCGATTCGCTTTTCTGTTATTTTGCTCTCTGGATCGGACTCTTTTACTTGGACCGGGCTTTAGTATTGTTGTTGTTGGATGGGCCTGAAACGGCCTGCATATATTCTTCAAATAATTAATGGAAATGAATTATGTTTTCATAACCGGATCGGATGCTAAACTGAAATAAAGTTCATGGTTCAGCAATCAATCATTATAGAATCGCTATTTAACCGTTGATAGAACCATTCATCCGTTATAACATAAAAGATATATTAAAGAAAATTATTTCCAAAGACACAGTCCCTACTGTGCACTTAAACAGTAATTATTATTCATTTAGACCTAAATTTACTATACATTCTTCCCTGATTGGCTGCCTGCCTGTACGTGGGCCCCACTGGTTTTCTCACTATGTTGTGGTTGGACCAGGGGTTTTTTTGCGAGATTATTTAGCTTGGACCGGATCTTATTCTCGATGCTTTGCTAAGGAGAGCACGTTGTCCACGAATCAGGTTAGATATCATCCTCTCTCTCTCTCTCTGACTGTCTTTTCTCGCATGCCTTCTTCTCTCTCAAGGCTTCATCTGATAGTGACTCGACCCTGCTGGGGAAAAAATGGGTGGAGGTCTCAAAATGTCAGGGAGCAAGAGGAGGCCTTTTCCTGATCAGTTAGTCGAGAGGAGAGGGGGTCAAAAACCCGGTGCTGGCAGAAAGATCAGAAATCTCTTTCTTTTCACCTTCTCCCTCTTACTCACTCCGTTTTCTCTGTCCTATTTCGCTGAGAACATGCATCTTTCCCAAATCTTCTCCTTCGCTGAACTCTTTTCACCATCTTCTCCTTCCCTCAACGATCCATCTCGGACGATCTCTCGTTGCGATTTGTTTACTCCGTTCTTTTTGCGCTAGGGATTGACAAGAGTCGACTAGCCAGGCCTTCTTCACAGTTGGTCAATCTTGGAATGGCGATGTTCCGAGCCCGGTCACCAGCGGTGGGTTCATACTGAAGGGATAGTTTGCGATATGTTGGTCGATCATTTTGCTCTTTCTTCTTACTCTCACTCTCTCTCTTATGTTTCCTATTTTCTCTGAACTTTTGAGAACGGCGGATAATCGGCAAGCAACCGCTAGAGTGCATGGTTATCCGATTGCGATTCTCTGCGCTTTTACCTGTCGAGCGACCGGTGCGCAACTGCCAGCTAAAGAAGAGGTGATCATTTGACCGATCAGTGAGCTCTCGATACCTTTAATTTTGTTTCGTTTCGCCTTCTATGTCTGCATCGCTAGTGGACTTAGTCTTTTTGTTACCTGATTTTGTCCTGGAGATTTACCATTCTGATTAATCATAAGCCTGTAGGAATTGACGGGAGCTGTTGCCATGCTTGCTAGGTTTTTCATGATGAGTCAATATCGGATCGGCGGTGCTCCGCTTCCCTTACGTGAGATTTTTCTATCCGTCTCACTTCCGCCACAACGATTTCTGGGGACCAGCTTGATTCACTGCGAGTTTTGATTTTGATGGTTTTTCCTCTCTCTATGTCTCTCATTCTATCTCTTCGATGGGGTTCCGCGACTCATTGTTTCTCTCTTTCTGTCTCACCTATTGTATATCTGCTTGGTTCCTGTCATCTCGGTTTGGGAGGTGAGCGAGTCTCAAAGTGATCGGGTCGACGATATGGGAGCCTTAGAGAGGATTCGCAGTATGCCCGGATTCACAGTTATGATGGAGTTGAGGAAAACGCAATTACATCAAGCATGTATTTGGAGGTGCCGTTGATTCAAGTTTCGTGCATCTTAGAGCTTTGCTGCTGAGCTGAGTGGTGACCCTTGATGCCGCAAGCTTGGCAAGAGCAACTTTTTGTATGTCAATAAGAGGGAAGAATTTTTTGTATATGTTTGATGGGGATATAATTATGGCAAAATACACCTGTATAGTCATAACTTTCACACTTTTGACAAATATAGCCATATCTATCCGAAAACAACAAATAGCCCAAAAAACGAAGGGTAGTGTGACAAATCTAGCCAAAATCGTTAGAAACTTTAACACCGTCTGCGACTCCGTTAAATCATTTGACGGAACGCTGATGAGGATGAAATCCGACCTCCACATCATTGACACATCAGCAAACTGTACACGTGGAATGCCACGTAAAGAATTAAAAAAAAAATCTGTTGACTTCCCTTCCCTTCCTCCTCCTTCCCTGTCCCCGAAAATCAAATTCTCACGAATTAGTGTTCGCACTTGCTGGAAACGACGACGCCGCTGGAGACCATGACGCCGCCATTGGAGACCACGCCACCGTCGCTGGAGACCACGACGCCGCCGCTGGAGACCACGCCGCTTCCTGGGAAGAAGATAAGTGTAGTTGGGATCTGATGGGTTGACGGTTCGCCGTTGCCCGGCGGAAGTTCTCAGGACTTACACCATCTGGGCAGCTCTCTCGCATTTGGGATCTGCTGGGTCTGCTTATCCATCATCGAAACAAATCCAAAACAAAACCTAACCTGTACTTACTTTCAAAGACCAATCGGAGAGCTTCCCGCATCAAAATCCCTACCACTACGGAGAGAGAGCAGAGTAACAACAACCCTAATTCACATTCCACCCGCTGAACAAACCAGAAGAAACCCCCGACGACGAGTCTCACAGCAGTTGAAAGCGATTCAGGAGAACAGAGCAAGAGAAGAAACCTTGAACCCAAAAAAGGAAGCAGAGATCTGGATGGTTTAGCGGAAGAGGAATGATGGATTGATTCTAGCAGCTAGCACCACCATTCGTCTCCTACGACGGAAGCTCGATACAAACCCCATCCTCGCCGCCCGAAAGCCATCCCTGGACTCGGATCCAGATCCTCCCGCCGACTCCAACGACGTGGCTATGCTTCTCGGCTCCTCTATCGATGAAATTCCTCCCAATTTCATGTTCCCTTCCAAGGAGGTCCTCCGCAGTGGCGCAGTCCTCGACGCAGTCGGCACAGCCGTGCCCACCACCGACAATGGGAGAGTTCAGCGCGGTGGGTGGTGGTGAGGGTCACAACTGCTTCTTGATTTTCCCATAGGTGAGGGTGGCGGCGACGATTTAGGGTTGTGGGTTGGTGGTAATTGGTGGGGAATAAGGTTGTGGGTTGCAAGTTGCTGGGGTGAAGCTGGTGTTGATGGCGGCGGAGACTATTTAGGGTTGCTGGGTAATGGTAAGGAATGGGGGTAGATGTGGGTAATGGTGGGGAATGGGGGTAGAGGAGTACGGGAGGAAGATGAAGTGTTTTCTATTTTATTTCTATTTTATTTCTTATTTTATTAAATCAAAAATTGCACTTATTATATATATATATTTTGTTAATCCACGTGTCCGACGAAAAGTCGCCATGTCAGCATTTCCGTCAGTACAATCAGACTGTTAACTAACACCGTCAAAGAGATGGACGGAATTGGCTATTTTGTGTTTTTCTATAGTTATGGCTATATTTGTCACAAACGTGAAAGTTATGGTTATGGAAGTGTATTTTGCCTATAATTATTTAGTATATGTGGTTTTAGGTTGTCTATCCACGGTGAAGAAGAAGAACCATAACATATGGCTCGACCGGGGGGATCAGAGTTCTGGTGAGAGTTCGAACTCAACTTTTGTGTCTTTTCGTTTTCATGACATCTAATTGGTGATTGCTTTTCCTTCCCTTGCACTTACAGATTAGCTGGAAGGCTGGACTGGTTGAGTGTCCGCCGCAGCCAGTGGCGTAGGCAAGATTCGAGTTTAGTGGGATCCCATTTACAAAAAATCTTATAACATTGTATTCAATTATCAAGTAAATTTTCTTAAAAATATTCAGTCAAATAGTCATTCATCAAACCATTAGTCATTAGATTTGTACCTTACATTTTGTGTAACTCATAATTGAAAAGTGACATTTCAATAACTAGCTAAAATAAATAGTTCCCAAGCAAAATCTAATACACACAAACATTTTATAAACACACATTTGATGACAAAGAAATTGTATATTGATATGAAAATTTTGTTGAACTAAGAGTTTTTTAGATATTGCTGAAGATTTTTGTACACATATTTAGTAGAATTAGAAATTTTTAGAATAATGACTATAAAATTTGGATTTTCAATGAAATATTACCAATATAGTCTAATTTATTTGTGTGTTTTATAATACTATGACAATTAAATTTCATATGAATGTGATCCTAAATTCTAAATCTACCCAAATTAAACAACTATATACATATATATAACCATTTTAATTTATCCAAGTGGGGTCCTAAGACCCCACTCCCTTCCACCTCCCTCCGCCACTGGCCGCAGCATTGTATTTCCATCGGAGAAAGTGATTGGATGGATCGACATAGGTTATTCACCCTCCTCTATTGCTCCATTCTGTCTCTTTTCTACCCCTCCATGCCTCCTATTATCTATCCCTGTACTCTTTTCTGGTTTAACTTTGTTTGCTCCTTTTGAAGACAGTCTTGCACTATGGTGCCGGCTTGAGGACGAAACAACAGGACCTGGAAATCACGATGACCGAACAGCTGGGAAGGACCGTCGATTTGAAGGTAGAACTAGAAGGGTTGTAGTTTTCACATTGATACTCTGTGCTTTGTTAACTTCATTGTGTATGGAATGTTTCTGGTGATTTTCGTGTTGTTAGTCGCTTCTTGATGGTTTTTTGTGCTTTGGTATGGAATATCAGAGCATCAGTTTAATTTATAAAGTTTGATGATTGGATTCAATGTTTGGAGCCTAAACCCCAGAACTTCGTTGGAGACTTATTGGAATTTCAGCAAAATCAAGTGCCAGATTCTGGTAGATTTGGAAAGGATTCGAACAAATTCAGATTGCATATTTGTTTTTAGTTCCTAGAAGTAGCAATCACTCTGTTATGTAGTGATGGATTTTGTTTACATGTTCTTTGCATTTCTCCTCTGCTGTTTAATGTGTTTCTGTGACTGCATGTATTCACATTCACATATCTGAATAACTAGGAGTAGGG